CTATCTATCGGCAGTCGCTACTCCATGAACCTGCTGTTTCCATACCCGGTCAGGTGAATCAAGAGTAGGTCTAGCTCGGGGAGGTGGTTTGGTAAACCATAACCCAGTTATCCCAATTCTGATGTGACTCTGCTTCAAAGACACCAGTGTGTCTTTTTGTGTGGTTCTTGCATCAGTAATAAGTATATAAACCTGACTTGGTACCCTCACTGTCTTTACATTTTTTTTATAGGCGCATAGAAACTGTTTCAAGAAACTAACACATCAAGTGAAACATGTAAACTACAGTTCTGTAATTAAGTCCTAAAATTTATGAGCTTTTCCTTCTTAAGTACTTGTTCTTTGGTGTATAACTGTAGTGAGCAGATTGTTTTCATGGCCAGCAGTGAAAAGAACACTGGAGCTTGATTTCTCTCGATACCTTGTGTTCAATGTTTGTTCTAGGAAAAGTTTGGCTTTAAAATTATGATGGATGGAGTCCAAGTTCAGCTGTTGCAAAGATGAAAAACTGCTGAAAACTATGCTCATTAGCCAATAACTAGGGAAATAGCTACCCCAGCTGCATGCCACTGACTGCTTGGCACCACAAAAATCAAACTGCAGAAAGTACTGCCTTATAAAGCTGAAACCCAGACACGATGTAGGTCTGGAAAAAGGAGAGCAAACTAAAAGAGGAAAGTCAGTAACTTTTGTAGCAGCTTAACTTAATTGCCTACTATGTATCTTATTTGTACGTGAAAAAACATGCTACGCATACATTGGGTTTTATCTATTAGAATAAATGACAGAGTTAGTAAGCTGCTTGAGTTAAATCCTTGCTGTAGTGCTAACAGTAGATAATTTCATTACTGATGTTTCACACTGAGGAATGTGATCATTAATCTGTAAGTCCACCACTTAGACTAGCAGCTTTATATCTTATTCTAAAGACATGATTTTGAGATAAGAGCTTTATTATTAATGAAAATGTTTGTCAGATATATTGTCTTCAATGATTTCTAACTACTAGCACTTCAGAATTACAGTGAAGATACTAGATAGGGTAGACCCATTCCCTAATGGCATTGGTAAAATTTATCACTCGCTGTGAAAAGC